TTTCCCTATCACCCATTGTATTAATCTTCCCTGAAAAAATCAGATCACCCTTCAAAGGTTGAGAATTTCTCCTCTCCTGCGGGCTGTCTCATGCCAGATCAATGCTAGCACTAACTGTACTCCGGGCTGCTGGAGAAGGTGCGTCAGCCTCGTGTCAGCCAAACGGAGACAGAGCCTTCTGCAGCAGCATGAACTGGTACAGCTTTGCTGCTCCCAGCGGGAGTATGCTGGTTTCCATTAGCGAGGTCTCTGGCTCTCGTGGTTTATGGACTGGCTAACTATCACTGAAAGCCTTCCTTCTGTGAGATGATTAGATCTTTTGCTTCCAAATTCAGAAGAGAGTGCTAGTTCGTGAAGAAAACAAATAACCTGGACTCCATGAGCTGAAAGAAGGATACACCCTTGGAAGAGTTGGCAGAAGGAGAGAATAACAAGAACTTCTATGAAAATTTTTAGTATTAATAATTAATTGATTAGACCGTAGTCCGAATTACACCAGAATGATGTATGTAAAGCTGTACTGGTATTTTTGCATAAGATGAAAACAATAAAAGGCATGAAAAATGCTCACTTCAGAGAAAGAATTCCTGCTTCTACTCGAGCTGTCTTTTTTAAGTTGCTGATACTATCAAATACCTCTTTTAGTCTTTCTGCTGTCTACCCCCTTTTGTTGTTGAATTTTAAGAGGCCTTTCTCTATAATCCGCATGGATTTTCCTAAAAATATTACAGGCTTTTTCTGCAAACCTGTCATCTTCTGCCAGCCCTCTTCCTAAACCCTTCAACACTTCTTTCCTGGAGGAGGTAACACCAGTTTGTCTTTGAAGTCCCAGTGGAGTACAAGCAGTTGGACTTGAAAGAGTAAATGCTGCACCTGAACATCCATGTTTTGCTGTAGAAATTAAATTAGAAAGTTAGCATTTTAGCTTCTTGCCTTTAAAGGACAAATATCAAAGTATCCCAGTGTGGGAGAAGAGACATAAGAGAGGAAGGGACTTGAAGAGAAGCCTGGAATTTTAAACCATGGGGCTCCTGACCATACTTGAAGTTCAGTCATTCCAAAGGTCTTTCCACCTCCCTTCCCTTCCTGGCTTCAATCATAAAAAAAATCCAGTTGTTTGATATTTTGCATCTGAACAATTCTATCAAGTAACGGGCTTGTTCACGTGCACCCGGGGAGGCACATCTCCAGCTGCTCTGCTGGTCAGATCTGAAGCACCCAACCTTTACAGCACTAAACTTTCTGTCCTCAGGCCAAAGCTTCAAAAATAGATGCCAGCTGGAAATAAAAAAAGGTTGAGTGAATAATTTTTAAATGAGTGAGCCAACCAAAAAAATGTAGACTCTTTTCGTGCAATACCTATGGATAGCTACAGCTTTATAATATAACTGTAGTTGGGATTTTTCTAAGATATATTACATTATTCTCACAAGGACAGCAGATAGAATTGCGTGATTTCTTCTTCCGAAGGATTTTGTTTACTCAGTGAAACCTCATGTGGAACATGAGCACAGGGTTTTACTCCCAACAACAAATAAAAATGTGAAACAAACAGAAGACTTGGCTGATTTGTAGACACATGTTTGCAAGGCTGGATACTTGCTGTGTGCAAATGCTCAGGATGTGCTACTTGGCTCCAGTGGCTCCGTAAAGCCACGCAGTGGTATTTCCATTCTTCAGCTGGCTGGATGCACAAAGATGGCACAACCAGGCACACGTGTCATTTTACAATCTGCTTTGTTCAAACATGTATAGCAGTAAAGTTCAAATCAAGTAGGTGTGGACACCAAACGCACCCAAAGAATAACTTGAATTGATGGGCCAAGCCAGTTCTGTAGTGTCTCCCGAGACACTGCAACTTTAATGCATTAGTCACTCTGCAATAAGTGGAAAATTAATCCTAAATGTGAGTAAATGTTAGGCACACGATCTCTTAAACACTTTCAGGGAAAGAATTGAGAGTGTTGTACCGGCAAGATGGTTCTTTCTTCTTTCAGATACTGAAACTCCTGGAAGTTGAAGTCAAACTCGTCATCATAAGCAAGCAGCTTCTGCTCCTCGCCGTTGTGGAAGTGGCGCATCCTGATTGCTCTGCCAGCAAGATGAGCATGAAGAAGTACCGCAAACACTTGAATCCCAGCAGGTCTCTCAGCACCTAGAGCCTGGCCAGGGGAAACCAACACCATCAGTGTGCCCAGATGCAGTGTAATGTAATGTAATGCAATGTACAAACAGAGTGAAAATATATTAATAAATGCATTTTACATTCCCTCAGTTTACAGCAAAATGCAGTCTGGAGCAGAAACAAATACGTATGTGAAATTAAGGTTTTATATACAAAAAAGTCTTGGTTGTTTTCTGTGATTTTTTTTTTGATAAAAACATGTTTTGACTCCTAATGCACACAATTTTTATGAAAATCAACTAGACTGCCAATAATTCTCAATAGATTAAGATTTTCAAGGGTATTATACTAAACCCTGCACATTATTTTGCTGCTATTGGCCAATACTGCTGAATGTGGATGTTTACTGTGAGAAAGAATTTCTATGCAGTTATGAATGATGTTACCATCAATATCCTGCCAAGAGAAGCACTTTAACTTAAGAAGTTGTTATTATAATATGTTCTATTTCCCATCTTCAAGTCAACTGGTAGTGAAATACTATACGTTCACCTACATCTGAGACTTTTTTCCAGGTCAAAAACATTTTAAAATTAACTTTTCCAAATTGACACAAATCTGACATCACTCCCATTCTAGCTGAGATCTACAGATCTGAACTTTTGGTATGCTAAACTTTGACTCTTGTTCAGAACCCAAGGTAGAAATAATCTGTTATCACAATATCTTTCAAGTACAGCCTTAAGGTCAGAAGCCTCACGGTAATAGATTACTCAAATGTTTTTAGGCTGCAAAATGCTATGACAATACACAACATTTAACACCACCAAGAACAAATCTAAATTCCATATCTAATTTGTCCTTCACTCCAAACCACATCATAACTAGCATTGCTTCAACCTTTCTCTATAAATGACAAAGTATATGAGAATCTCCTGTGATATATTAGTCACAGACTTTAGACAATGTTTCCATTGTAGAGATATTTAGATTATCCTAATGAAACCAAGCGTTTAATGAATGCATAATTTTGTACTTTGGGCAAAACCATTTCAGGTCTTCAGTTTCTGTGGCTGGTCTAAGAATACCTTTCGGGCTTTCACTTCACTATTAGGAGACTTTTGCACATGCACAGATCTTTATTAGTCTCTCTCAACATTTTTTCTGGGCTAGCTATTCCAGGCTATTTATAGCTTTGCCATGGAAAGCAATGTATGCTTATATATTGAAAACACAATTAAATCATCGCAAGCACTGTGTCATCCGGCATTACTCATATCAGTAAAGCAGCCTGAATACTGAGCACCCCAAATACCCAGATCAAAAAGATTCAATATTCTGGAGGGCAGCCTGTAGCAGATGCCTTTGCTCACATGTCTTTAACCGGTAACTATCAATCTTCCCAAGAAGTTAAAGAGGCTGTCCAAAACTATTTCTAAGAATGAAAACCAATGGATTCAGGCAGGAGACATACCTCTTCCAGACATTCCAGTGTGCAGTGACCCTCTGACACAAATTCAGGCATGCCCGGTGGGATATTGTGGAAGAGGCTGACCCAAAGACCGGCTTCAATAACCCCAGCATCGTATTTCCTTATAACTGGGGTATAAATTAGCCTCAGACCAGAGTTATCTATCAAGCCTGCAACAAAAGAACACAGTCAGCCATGGCTGTAAATCAGTATTTTAAAAAAAAATTTAAAATCCAATTGTTTCACATTTTTCAAGGCTTTCCCTAAGTTTTTTACATGAAAATCAAGAAATCAACCTCAGTAACCTGGAAATGAGTCAAACTATATGCAGGAAATAATAAAAAGGGGCAGCCCACAGGAGGGTTGTTAAACATGGTATGTTGATGTCTGTCGTGCTCAGATGCGAATGAAAAATACGTGCTGCCTGTAGCCCCTGTGTCCCTTCCATTAAGTTATCCAACATGGACCTCAGAGAAAAGAAGGTAGATCACAGGCAGAGCAAACAATACAAGGAAATAATAAGACCTCAAAAGGTGCCATGTATGATTTTCAAATGGAATATTTAAAGCAGAGGTTAAAGTTGTTGTGGGGTTTTTTTCTTTAAAATTTTTAAGCCATGTGTTGTCTTCTACTTGTGAATTTATCTATTCCTTCACCTTGACCCCTAGCATTAATTATATTCTTTCTTTGTTTTGGACTGCTTGTCATGTTACAGCATACCTCAGATGTCCAAATACATCCCTTTTGCAATCTCCCCAGTTAAGAGAGCATCAACTAAACTTATGAAAATTGGCTTCCTAAATCCCAAACTTGAAGATAATACCAGTACCTTGAGTAAAGTAGAAAAGAGGACTACATAGGATTTTAATACTGCACTCACTCAAGGACTTCTCTTGATTTCAAAAAGTAGTTTAAGGAACCAAAGCCTGATGTAAAAAGGTTGTGGTTTTTAAGAGTCAAAATGGTATGAATCTACTTCATTCATCTAAATGTTTAGCCATGTGAGTTTTTTTGTGTATCTAATTAGAATTTATGTTGCCTCTATCATCTAACTGCTTATAATTATTTCTCTTGTTTTAGCCATTTTTATTAGGAAAGCTACCAGCAAAAACCAAAGACTAATTTGTGTTGCACAAGCCCCACATTCTGTTAGCTCATTTCTTACTTTCTTCTTTGTCATCCATTTTCAAATTCCAGTTTTGAAAATTAAAAATGCAAAAAACCTACCCAGTATCTCAGAGAAGGTAAGAGGCTTCCTAGCGACCTATATCGGTCTTCTAAAAAACATAACAGACATAGCAGTGCCTGAAACCAAATTTTACAACAACATGAAACCAGCAGGCTATTTTAAGATGACAGAGGGGCAGAGCAGGGACTAAGTCACCCAGTCACTAAAATACCTAACAGAGAGTAATATATAATTATTAAGGAACAAAGGATATGAACTATGCATAGCCAATTAAGAGTGGTAATCAACTATGAGACATTCTGCAATATACTAATCATGACATTTCAGGTGATATATACTGTCCCACAATATCCCAATTTTCACATGTTTGGGAACCCATACTCATTCCCTTTCTGAAGCTATTTGTATAATCTCATCAACTTGAATTTGTCCTTTGAGGTATTTCCCCCTCAAGCTTGTTGCTAACATACAAATGCCAGAAATTTTTACAATATGTAAGAGTTTTTGATAAACAATCTCAAAAGAGGCCACCTTTCCAATTAAAAGTGAATGCTAAGGATTTCATAAACAGAAACATTCAAAACCAGCCAAGTTAGGAGCCATTCAAACATTTTTGAGTCTAACTAGGAGCCAACGCTTACTACCAATCTGAGTCCCTTAGGAAAACATTACCCCAGATCACAATGTGAGGGTAACAATGCAGCCTTTAACCGCAAGACCTAAGCTGGGAAAATGCAGATCCCGAAATGGGAGAATGAAGGTGACCCAGTGGCAGGCTGGGTGCTGTGTCAGGAGGACTTGTGTGCCCCACCCGAAGCAGTGGGAGCTCCCAGGTCTACTCCCTCCCACTCCTGGCATGATCTTATACCATGTATTTTGTCAGGGAGGGGAGAAACATGACCTGGATTACAGACACCCCGCTCTGCCTATGCTGTCTGAATTTTCCCAGGTCTTTGGAGGGACCCTGTGTTCACCTGAGACTGTCCCAACAAGGCAAAATTGTCCCCATTACTTAAAAAGGAAACGAAACATTATTGATCCCCAGTTTTTGTATGTGCCACTTGAACTAAAACAATGGTATCATACAGCACAGTCGATTACAATAAAATAGTGAATTTGGGGACATGACCAATTCGAAAACAGTTTTTCTGCATGCGACCTCTCAGGCTTTCAGGTAATATTTGATGGAAAAACATGCAACACCAAGGATGCAAATGAAGTTTACTGTATCCCATGCAAATGTGCATGCTGAAGGGCAAGAGTCCATCATTAAATAAAAGAGTTTTGAGATAGTTCATCTAGAACAACAGAAAGAGGGGGAATAACAGTAAGACAGAACACCATAACCCACACAGAGAATCTTATTTAAACACATGGGAGTGTAAAGAAAGGCCAGTACACTGCGCTGCACTGGGTTTTACTCAGTTCATATATAGCAATCACCAGAATATTCTCAGGTACAGTGGCTCAATAAACTTTTGTTTAAGAACAAAAAAGTATCTTTCCAAAAGTCGGCTTCAAAGTTCCCTAGATTTTCTGGGGCTCCCTGGTTTCTTCCTTTTGCTTCTTCTAAATATAAATTAATTTTAGAAAGAAGATTAAAAAACACCATTACAAGTGAAAAGTTTATCTTCTAAGATAAACTGCTTTTACCCAGTGAATGGTCTAGCAACCTGAGTCTAAACTTCACCTTCAGAAACTGCCCACAGTTCAGGTAGATGTCTTTAAAAAATGTTTAAAAAAAGTAATAAAAGGCTTATTCCGTGTGTTGCTGTCTCACAGTCTGGGTGCTGTGCTGCCCTCTCTCAGCCTCATTAGATTTCCCAGCAAAAGGAAGGGAGCGAGAGATAACATGGAGAATGTAGTGATAAAAGGAGATGTATTTGCCTGGTCCACAATTCTTGGTATATCAATCTCCGACTGACTTCAGGTTAAGCTTTTGAGTGCAGTGAGAAAAACACTGGGAATCATGAACTATTGAGCAGGGAAAAATAAGCCTTAGCTTTGTATTTGCTCTGTTTGCCATGCAATGCAAGGAGAAGCACTTGTGTCTAGACATTTTCCAATCTTGCATGTTTTAAAGAGTGTGAGAGTACAAACCTTCTGTGTATAATGGATTGTCATAATGTACCTCCATAAGAACGAACTGAGGGTCAGCTGCTGTGCCAATGGATAAGCCGACATGAGGAGGGTAGGTGAAGCCCTGGAAATCAACACACGCATACAGAGTTAAGGTATTTTTGCCATGGTTAAGAGTTAATTTCTTTTTATAAATACATCTACTTTTTTTTTTGCAATGATACAATCATATTAATGATAAAATTTACAAAGGTAACTTCTTTTAAAACTTTCTGAACATGGCATTGTGGCATAATGTATTTATTATATACTCAATACACTAAATAATTATGTCAATATAAAATAGTAGATCCTATGCTTGCTAGAGGATAGAGCCCTGAGCAAACTGGTCTGACTTCATTGCTGACCCTGCTTTGAGTAAGAGCCTGGATTAGAGACTTCCCGAGGTCTCTTCCAACCTGCATTATCCTGTGATCTTATGATTATTTATCCTGTATTTGTTGCTTGAGTGGAAAAGGAAAATTCCATTTTAAATGTATAAACATATCATCAACCAACAGTCTGGCAATAAAACTCTTATGAAAAAGTGAATTTACATTTAAAATGTTCCCTGTTTCTAAAAGCAGTAATTTCCAGAGAATACTGAAGCTGTACGTAATTAGATTGCTTTTTCTGCACAAATCACTGCATTCTAAATAAAATGATTTGAACAATAAAGATGACCTTCAGGGCTACATTTATATTAGCAAGCCATGCAGTGCAAAAGCTCTGTACAGTGCAACAGCTTGTGCTGGACCCACTGTCCCCAAACGATGCTCCTTTGGACAAGCTCTGGTCAGACCCCGTGCACTGAACCCCATTTATTGCTGGGAGGTGCTGGGTCCAGCACGTTCAGTTTAACTTCATCCCACAGGGGGCTGTGCAAGTTCTCAAACCACTCGTGGTGATAAACAGAGCTTGGTAAGTGGGGATAACCGGGAGATTTACTTCAGAAACTCACTCCTGATTCAGAACGAAATACCAGTATCTTCTAAGTGAACTCATTTACCATATCCACTTTTACAGGAATTAATCTGCATCATTTTAGAGTATATAGCTAATATTTTAATATGCAATTTGAGACTCTAACTTTCTGAAATGTGCAATTTGAGATCCCAACTTTCTTATGCTTGATGGACATTAATGAATTAATTGTAGTATATAGTAATAAATATTATCACCTCCATTCTGCATAAGGGTAAACTGAAGTAAGTGAAGTGAGTTCTCCAGTAAACTTGAATGTAATCCAGAGCTGCCAGGTTCCTCTCTACAGATCTTTAACAACGGGATCATCCTTGCAAAAGCCTCCATAGTGCTTGTCAAATGATAACTTATTTATATGAGTTTTTTATTTCACTTAGATTAAGAGAGTTGAAAGTACAAATACTAGGTCAGAGCATAGCTGATGGCAAAAATGCACAAAGCATACATCAGGGATGATGCTTATAGTGGATTAAACTTCTTTTGACTGGTCCTTGTAGCAGCTCTGGCTTCCTCACACTGCAGCACTTGAAGACAGTTTTGGATGGCAGGCTGGCAAATGAAGGCTCCAGAAACTATCGTCACCCCAGTCCCTCTCTGTGCCCACACCGTCGTCCATGTGGGCACACAGTCAATCAAGGCGATAAAGAAGGGGTGGGATTCTTTTAGCAGTGATGCTGCCTTATGTCAGCTGAAAGCATTAACTGCAGCCTAAATTAACATATGAAATAAGCTGAAAATACAGCCTGGGGTCAACATGGCATTAGACACTGTGTTTTCTGTAGCTATGCCCCGTTGCCATGAGCAAAGTGGTCCTTGTGCTGGCTCTGCATTGACACAGCATCACTCCTACACTGAAATGATGTCTCTTTGGGCTGGGTAGGTAACTTCAGAATGATATGCCTGAATGGGGCAACACTGTAACCAGGTCCTGGTGAGGCACAAAATGAATTAAATCCATGTCGAACTTCATTTGGAAAATCTTGCCTCCATGTCTTTTATGCAGTCACCTACAGAGACTTGCTTTTCCTTCTGTCATTCTCCACAGATAACAGATAGTGGTCATTGCTGGAGGCAGTGTGTTTCCATATCAGATGGGCCAAGCTGATATGGAGACAGACTTCCATGCTCCCAAGTCATCTTTCTTCCCCTAAGGCATCAGCTCTCTCTATACTATTTTCATTACTTTTAGCTTGTCACTCAGGTTGTTCCTTGCATTTCAAACTTAAGAGGCCAACAAGAAGTTGAGGACTTACTGGTGAGGCATTTAGGGATTGGGATTGTGTACCCTTAAAAACAGACAGATTAAGTAATCACAGGAAGAAGCTTCATTATGATACACACCCTCCTAAAGCCCCATTGATGAACCATGCTAGACAGACATTCATCCTACCTCTCCTCCAATGGCCCAAGCAAAAATGACCGTCTCACATGTAAGAAAAGAGTCTGGCATGTTGGGGTGGTAGCACTCATGCCCGTAGTCCAGCACACTGTCATTCAAATTGCTGCTGCACTGGTAGAGCAGGATATGGTGCACCAGATTCTCATGGCCTTTCTGGATCAATGGCTCAACCTGTCAATGTTAAAATGAAAAAGAAAAAGAAAGAAAACACATCTCAAGCATGACTATTTCAATCCAGGTATGCAGACAGAACTAAAAATTATATGGTGCATTTATTTTAAAAGAGGAGACTTGACGTTAGATTGTAGTTAGGTTGAGATGTTACTTCAGCACTCAGCAACCCCAAGCATTAAAAACGTCATTGCCCAAGTGCATCAACGGGGGGCAGGAAGAAAATTCACTGTCTTGATGAAACCTCTGTTGCCATCTGTCTTCTTCAACCTTCTCCCACTCCAGTCTTGCACTGTCACTTGTCTTTCTTCCTGCCCAATCTTGTTTAGCCACATTCCAGCATGAAGTGGGTATAAGCCAGCTGAAAGTCTGTTCAGCTAAACCTGATCGGTATCTGAACTACTCAGAACTTTTAATCCCTGTTTCTGCCTCTTTTGTACTATTTCTAGTACAAACTAGAGCTGCCCGTAGATTCTGTACATCTAGGGTGAGCCTGGAGGTATACCCCACATTCCGCAGCAGCTCAAGATGGACTTTCAAATTTTTTTGACATCTACAAGAAATTAAAATTATTTTACAATCTGCTTAGTTGTAAAGACTTTATTAACATGAAGTCATTCCTGAAAGGTCGAGTGCTGAAGCCTGTTTATGGCATTGATGAGCTGGAGGGCTCTCAGGGACGCCCGGGTGCCTCCAGTATAATTTGACCGCTGAACTTGAGGGTAGGCTGAAATTATTTCATTCCCACATAACAGTGTTCACTCTCTGGATGGATGATGTTAAATCATCTCTGTCAGAGATTACAATCCCAGGGCAAACACGAATACTTCTGAAAAAAATTATTTTGCTTTTCAGAAAGATCATACTCCACAAAATATCAGCATATAGAAAACAGTATTAAAAAGAAAGGAGTTTTTCCTTTGCTTTTGCTTTCAAAGATTGCATCCTGTTCTATCATATCTTACCTTCAAGTTGAATAAGATAAACATTAATGTTTTTACAAGAAAAGTAAAGCTTTGGCAATACAACTCTTAAGATGTAGGGTTCCATGCAGTATCACCTTTTAATATCAGGAAAGAGAAGGTATTTTAAACAGGCAAAAAATGTATATATATCCTAACTTTGCATCCATTTGCTTTGCAAGCACATAAACCCCAGCTACCAGAGGACCAGAACAGGGTAAGCAATAACAGTTTATTATATTATTAAAATATTGTCAGCACAATATTGTTCCCAGGAATTTATCTCTCTGCACTTTGTTCAAACCACTAAACCAATTACAAAAGAGGAAGGGCAGGAAGAAGCAACCAGAGCCTGTGCATATCAAGACCACCCTCATTGATATGAATCTGCAAAATACCATCGAAGTTGGGCTCTCGGGGAGTCCAGCTGCTGCTGAGTACCTACCTGCATGTCTGTCCAAGAAGTGCACAACCCAAACCCACCCACTTCACTGCACTTAGAAGTCAATGGAAGGATGCCAATTTGCACGGATGCACCAAAGTTTTGTTCTGATGGCAAGACTGAAATACTTCACAATAGATATTCTGTACTGTTCTCAGTAATCCCTATTTCAGTTAGTGTTACCATCATCATGAATTACTGTACTATGGAAGTAAAAGGTATTTTTGAAGGAGATAAGAGTCAGTTTTCCTATCAGGTAATAATTTATTCCCAGATATATCACTGACTGGCAAAGATTCAGAAATCCATTTCAGCTTAATGTTGCTTCTTCCCTCTGCTCCGTCATACACCCGCATATTTATCCAAATACTGCAGAACCAAAACACACTCATACCATGGCAGCTTATACATTAAATGGCAGTATATATCTCAAGAATTCAGAATCTCCACATAATGTATAGGTTAGTCAGGGAAATGGTTATGGGAATATTATCCCTGTATCTACCAAGAAAAAAAGAGTATTTTTGTCCCAACATGCGATAATTCTGCCTGCTGCCACAAGATCCCAGCACCTGCTGCGCTTACAATCGCTGCTTCAAAACCGGCTTCCCCTCAAAACAATGGGACATACCAAAATTAGAAACTCACATCCTGTCATCTCTTTCTTAGTGTCGGTTACCTAAACAGCAACAGCACTTCAGAAAGTAGGTTTGTTCAGCTTTCTTTACTGAAGAAAAGCAAAAAACCTAGAACAATCCCTTAAGGGATACATCTTGTAGGACAATTTATCTTCTTCAGATGCACAAAAAAATAATGAAAAGCAGCAGTGAAGTTACACTTTTTACACATTTTTATTACAACTTGTTTGCGCCACCTTTCTCTTTTTTTAAACAAATAGAGAAAAAAAGAAACTATTAGGAGTGGTCAAAAATCTATTAACAAAAATCTTAGGAAAATCTCATTGACCAAAAATTTCCCAGAAATGTATGGAAATATTTTAATAGCCAGCTCCTTAAGGATCACAACATCATTTCTGATTGAAATGAGAGAAGGAAGAGGGGCAGACCCCCTAGACATGTTGGGTTCCCTTTCTCTGATCAATGAATAGCTAACTATATTTACTTACTAGAATAACGTCAGCAGAAAAGAAAATTAAGAAATATGATTTAATTCTCTATTGTAGTGATTAACTGGAACAGGGATTTAAACGTGCCATTCTACATCCCAGGTGAGTGCTGCCCCAGTTACTCAGCCATGTTATTTTAGCTTATAGAGTAAGTCGGTTGTTTAAGCTGCCTGCCTCTTCCCCCCTCACTTTCCACAAAGAGCATCTGTACAGCTTAGTTTGCTCTAAGCTGAACAGAAATTCCAAAACCTGATTTTTTTTCCAAATAAACAAAATTCTTGTTTTCTGGCCAGCCTTACAAACAATGATGAACAATGGGGCCAAATTCAGCAAATCACTAATGCATTTAAATGCGCACATAAGTAGTCCCAGGTGTAAAATTAGTTGCTAGAGCAGGTATCTACAATTAAATATCTAGATCAGGGTGGCCTGGTTTCCAGAGTACTTGCAGCCCCAATGAATGATAACACAATTTCAAAGGGCTCATCTCCTACAAGCTTATTCCTATTTTAACAGCCCTTTATCAGCCTTGATCCTTAACTATAGGCATTCATTTTTAAAACATGGACTGTTTAATGCACACGTTAAAAGTTTCCAGTTATTTGAATTTTTTAAACATAAAGTTTTTTGCTTCTTTGATAGTCTTTAACCCCCAAATCACATCTGAAAGCTAAGCTAAGCTAAGGTCTACTTTTGCAGATCTCCAGTCACAATAATAGTAGACCAGCCCTGAAAAGTCACCATGCCATGACTGTCTTACTAATTTGTCTCGGGAAACAGAGAATACTTATGAAAAGATAATAATTTACTGTGGTAAATTAGGGCAAAGGAGTAAAATACAGAAAAAATGTGATAAAAATAGGCATAGTACATAACAGTCAATAAAGTCTGCAGATTTAAGTGAACAATTCATTTTTATTTGGATTCTTATTTATACATAGCCTTGTTTACTCTGTTCTCGTAGTGTAAGGGGACTCTCAAATGACACTTTCAGTCACCGATAACTTGAGTAATTTAGATGAGTTGCAGTGAAAATGCAAATCCGCCTTTCACTTTCAATAATTATGAGGAAACCTGTGACTTTGAAATGTAGTTCCTTCCTCTTTCCTTGCTAATTCCTACCCACCTCTTGTTAGACAAGGGAGTCAAGAAAGAGGCTGAAAGGAGACTGAAAGGTAACATGCATATAACTACCTGTTTTCCCCAATTTGCCTCATTCTTTGAGGCTCATCTGTGGCGCTTCTACTGTTGCTGACATGCAAGGAAGACAGCTGCCAGGGTTCATCTCTTTGCCATGTCGTGAATAAGCCTGCAGAGATACTGCACCACCGGGGCACCTCCGTGGCTTCTTCCCCTGAGGGAAAGTGCATTTTCTGCTTGACATTTCCTAACTGCCAGAGGCTCAGATAACAAAAGCCTTATATCCACCCTACATCAAAATGTCGAAAGCGTTTGGGACTGCAAAAAATAAGTGCATGCAACAAGACACAATTTCCCCTGCTTTTCATGAAAGCAGAAAGAAACTCCTGTTTTATTATTCATGATGACTTACTTTCTGCATCCTCTCTACCTTTCTTGAAAGCTTGGGCAAAAGATCTTTCTAACTGAGCACACTGACGTATATGAACCTACCCGACTCCCACTAAAAGAGATAAAAAATAATAGATGTACTATAATCCACCACCACATCAAATCAGGGTTTCCAAAGACGGAGGTATTTAAAATACACTGCATTCAAATGCAAAATGAAGACACTGCCTTCTGCAATTAAAGGTATGGGTTGCAGTTACGGTGTTGGGTTAGCATGACCTGTACTCGTCGGGCAGGTTGAGAGGTTTTATACAGCTCCTTTCATCGTATCTCTTCGCACTTCTCAAAATACTGACTTTCAAAGAATATAACAAACATTTTCAATTTATTATCAGGTTAGTTAATACAGATAAGACGTGTGCTTTCCACCTGTTAATTTAACAGAAGCTCTATTCTAGTCAACAGGCTGACATCATATGAACAAAGAAAATGCTTATATCTGCCAGTGCCAGGTTACTCAGCTTCAATTTTTCTTCCCGTCTTCTGTATTTCCTATTATCCCTTTACCTACTGCACAAACTGAATGCACCACATGTATTTGTTTCTTAAAAAAACAAGCCAAAATTATAACATAATAGAGCCTTGCATCTCAAGCTGCTGATAAGCAGGGTCAAGGTACTAATGTATAATGTATTAAACAGGATGAAAATGCGAACTGTTCAAATGGTCCAAGAAGTTAGATTCCCTACAAGGGAAAAATATCTCCAGAAACCTGGAAGTCTTTCCTGCTTATTCCTGTTTTTCTCCCTTTTTATTTGCTTTGCTTGCTTTGATGTTAACAGCTGTGGTTTGTTCTTCATGCTCGCTTGTATGAATGATGAAAGTTAGCAAACTATATCCATAGTCTTTCCATAGTGTCCAAATATAGCCCACTGAACTT